ATTGGCTTCGTGGCGGACAGCATCAACACCACCACGGGGCGGATGGCCTACCGGGGCCGGCCGATGAACCGAGCAGCGCGCATAGCCGCCCGCGCACTGGCGGGGCAGGTGCATTGCAGCGCCGCCGTGTGGGGGGCGGCGGCGGATCGTCTGGCGGCGCTGGCGCGGGCGGGGGTCGCGGGTCATGGCCCTGGCGGCGGCGAAAGTGGAGGTGGGCTGCCCCCCGGTCTACGGTACGATGATGATGATGAGGTGGCGGCGACGAGTTTGGGATTACAGAGCTTAAAAGGGGTGATGGATAAGGTGCGCTTGTGTGCATGTGTTTTTTGGGTCGTTGGGGAATGAGAGGGCCGTCCGCAATTTATCCTTGTCCACTGCATGTGAGGTTACGCGTGAAGCGTTAAACGGAAGTAATGAATTGTAAGGTGCAAAAATAAATTGTGTGGTGATGTGCGCAGATCGAGGTCATGTCGGTGTCGTACAAGGGCATGGCGCTGACGCCGGAGGAGGCGGCTGTGGTTGCCAAACGCGCGCCGCGGCAGAGCGCCGGCAGCGGCGGCGCCGTCAGCAGTAGTGTCGCCACCGCTACGACCACCGCCACCACCGCCACCAGCGGAAGCACCAGCACCGTCTTCTCCGGAATCACCTTGAACACCAATACCAGCCAATTTGGCTCCAATGGCGGCGGCGGCGGCGGCGGCCGCTTCTTCCAATGCCGCAGCGTTAGCGGCATTCCCACTTGCAGTACAACTCTCGACCGACTATCGCCAAACGGGCCGTCGCGCATCTCTCACTCGCGCCTCTCTCACCGGTTCCTCGCCTCCGCCGCCGCCTTTATTGGCGGGGGCTCCGGCGGCGGCGGAGGGAGGGACGGCCGTCGCAGCAGCGCCTGCGGCGCCACCGCCGGTGTGGCCGATGCAGTACAATTAGACGACGTCTTCACGGCTCCTGACGGCGTCCGTACCCCCCCGAGGGCGCTGCGGTCGGACAACGTGATTGCTGATTGCGGTGATGCGCGGGGGAACCTCAGTCCGCCTTCTTCGACTTTGCCGCCGTCGCCGTTTCGACGTTTCGGGGTTTCCCAGCTTTCCTACGCTAACCCGGCAGCTGCCGCTGGCGCACCTGCAACCAACCCCTGCAGCGGCGACGGCGACGGCGACGGCGGTGAGGACGGCAGTGCCAGAACGACCGGTGCCGGCGACAACAAGGGCCACGGCGGGCGCCTTGCGTCACCGTCAGCGGCGGCAGCGGCCGCAGCGGCGGTACACTTTGCGGCCAGCCGCAACCTTCCGTTTCGGAGCCGCAGTGACGAGCACGTTGTCGTACACCTCAACCCCCTTGCCGACACGGCGGGAGCTGCCGGCGGCGTCGCCGGCCTGGGAGCGAAGTTGGGGCCAACAGCTCCCAGGTCGGCGAGCCCGCCAAGCAGGATGTTTATGACAGATGTGCCGCATACAGACGCCGCACGTAAAGTCAGCCACCCTCTTCGAAACTGGGCGTCGGAGGTGCCAGCGGCGGCGCCAGCGGCGGTCACCGTAACGGACCGTACCTCCGGCGGCGATGACGTCGCGGCCTTTGGCGTGTTCGGAAGCCACGGCGAAGGCGCGCCGACGCCACCGGTGCCGCCGGCGCCTGACTCACCGACGCTAGCAGCAGTGGCAACAGCAGCAGCGGCAGCGCTGACGTCGACGACCCGGGGGTTTGGTGGCGACGAGGGTGAACGGCTGCCGTCCATCGCCACCATCGCTGCCGCCGCCGTCACCATCGGCGCTGCCATTGATGACGTACAGTCCGCCTCCGCCGCCGGTCTTGTGGATCGTCTTGATGAGAGCAGCTTCGGCAGCCTGCTGCCGCTGCCGCCACCGCCGACAGCATCGCCGCCGCCGCCGCCGCCGCCACCGCCGCCGCAGAGTCTTCAGGTGCCTGGAGCTGATAATAATAACGGTCCGGAGGACACCTGAAACCATCAACTGCAGTAGCAGGCCAAGCACCCACCTTGATAGCTCGCTTGACAGATCTGGAAGAAGATGATGTGTGACAATATTGTGTTAATGATACTGTCATCAGCCATTCATCCCGTCGAGAGAGGAGGAAGAAGAGGAGAGGAGAGGAGAAGCGGGGGGTAGCCGGAGCTAATTATTTGGAGGGTAACGCAGCTCAAGGCGTAACACACACATTTTATCGGCTGCGGCGACGCACGCCGCTGTGCTGCTGTGCTGCTGTGCTGATGCCACACGGTCATCATGTACTGTGTACTCGTTTCTATGGCTAGTGTGCTGCGGATGAGCAACCATATGTTACATAATATGTATGTATATATGTATGTATGTGGAGGAGTGAGTACAGGACGGTACATACCGATCTGGGGATGGGGTTCTGAGGGGGTCGCATGCAGCCCCATCGAGCCGCCGCCGCCGCCGCCGCCGCCATCACCGCCGCGGCCGTTGCGGGGAGGGGAGCTCGAGAGATCGACAACCGACCGTATGGCGTATGTGCCTGCCTGCCTGCTGCGGTGCTTGCTGTGCCGGGGTGTATCTGTAGCCAATAATCGTCCGTGTTAGCCGGGTGTGGGGCGTACGCTTGTTCAGCGCAGGACTGTACCTGTCCCCCCCTTTTGTCCTCTTGCACTCCCCATTTCCTTCTCACCTTGTACAGGTTTATTATCGGTGTAGCAATGAAACGTTTAACACAAGTAGATGAATAAATATATATTACTATATTCAGAGGTATGTATGCATCTACATGTACAGGTTGATAGCCGTAGAGGGGGAGGGCGCACTCGTGGTCGCGTTGGTTGAGCCTCCGCTGGCTGCGGTTGTGGTTTCTCCTCCTTCTAGCGAGGGGGCCGGGATCACTAGCTCTTCAGCTTCAGTCACCCCCTCGGCCTAACCTTTTGTCGCCCCTCCGTTCTTTTACTAGTACCTTTTCGCCCACTAAGTTGACATTTGCCAGAAGTTGATCTATAATTGCAGCGCGCGCTACTTTCATCACATCGCGACTTGGGGTTTGTTGCCTAGTGATAATATTTTATATGTATATATGGTGTATGTAGGTGTATGTATTGGACGTTGAGGTTGTTGAGGTTGATGCGGGTAGTGGGGGTGAGAATTTAGCGAAATCGCGGAGTTGGCGGCCGCCGTCTGCCTGCACTCTGACAGCAGCGGTTTTACGGACGAAGATTCTTCGCAGCCGCAGCCGCAGCCGACGCAGCCGCAGCAGCTGCGCACAGGAGCCAACATGTAGCCATGTAGGTGCTCATACGACATGAGATATCGGATGCCTCCTGCTCCCTGGGTTCGACGGCCCTCGCGTAGGCGCCCAGGAGGGCAGGCAGTGAGAGGACTCATCCACGTCGTAATTAATTATGCTATTTGGGATTTGGGGCCGCACGCGGGGGAGGCGGGTCGATAGCGCTGACACGTAGTACTATCCGTGCTTTCCGTCGTACTATTTCATCAATCCCATGGTGACAGATGCGGGGTATTCCAGTCGCCCGCAGAGCGCTCTGGCCGTGTTGGTGTGTTGAGAATTGACCAGAGTGGGGAGGTTTGTGGAATGTGGTCGGGCCACTGCTGCTGCTGCTGCTGCTGCTGAAGTTGTTGGGATGTACATACTCGACGTCCATCAAGACTAACCCGCAAAAGGGCGCTATGTAGCTGCTGTAGATGCGTTGCAATCGAGTATCATCGGATACTTACAAACGTATATTAAGTACACTCTCGAATGGTGACACACCTGAGGGCCGAGGTGTGCGGCCTTACTGTCAATACTGCCAAACCTAAAGAAGGGACCGTGTTCTTCCCCGAGTGGTTTATTGCCGCGCATCTGAACAGCTTTGACCGCGAGGGGGACCTCGAGGGCCGCGTGTTAACATGCACGCCTAGTTGCAATGTGTTGTTGGACAATGTAGGACAGTGGCTGGTGGGAGAGGGCTGGCGGCAGCGTGAGAACAGGTAGTGTAGAAGGTTGCGTCGCTCTCCTCATATACTTCTTTCATTCTCTTTGGGGAAAAAGGGTGCACAGGCAACTGTTGGATTTGCACCAAGACCGACAAGAGACACACCACACGACCTTTCGAGCGCCGCAGGTGTATTCTTCGTCTTCACCCTCCACCTTCCTTCGCACCGCGACGTACACATTCTTAGGGTGGAACAGGAACTAGACATGAACTCAGGAGGGTTCGTCGCGTGGCGAAGTAGTGCATGAGTTGTAGGGGAATAGGCATGTACGGTAAGGTTTTTTGACCGCCTAGGCTTCCTTGGGGGCGGGGCGCCCACGTTGGACTCCTCCCAAGCGGTGCGGGATGGCCGAGTGTCGGCGCTCCCACTTCTCGGTAGCCGAACGGTGTGTGGCCGTTTGGGTCGGGCTGCTGGGCCATATAGGAAGGGGGGCCCGGCTTTCCGGGCACCAATGTGTCTGTATATACGTCAGTCAGGCTGTCCTCGTTGTAAAATGCTTGAATTTAGCCACTGTGTGACGTGAAATGGAGTCAAGTTTCAAACATCTAAGTCCACTGCAGTGAAGCTGACGTGGGTGCGGTTGTGCAGATGGAGTGGGAAAGCCGTTGCGACAGGCCCATCATGGTGGAGGCTTCCTCATTTTGGTCGAGCACCTTCGCCATCCATTGCAATAGAAAGGCGATTGGCACGATGGAAGGACACACCAACCTAAACTTAAAGGGGACAAGCAAACTATATTGCTTCCTCTGGCCGTTACCCAAAAGGTAGTTAAACCATGTATCAGGGAGTTTGCTCAGTGACCAGAGCCATTACCAAACTGAGCAGCCGTTCTGGGCGTCACCAGCTGCTGCCTGGTTAAGGGAATCGCCGGGCAGAAAGAGCAGGTATCGCAGATTACTTATCTATATGTCGTAAACACTTCCACAATATCGAGCCGCATGGTTATGGTTTTGTGAAAAAACAAAATAAGTTGAGAAATCGGGCCCATTTGCCGTACGGAGTTCCTATTGCTTTAGCTGTCAACCATCGGAACCGCAGTGGCAGGAGCGTACAGGGAGTCACAATGTCGCTGCAAACAGCGGTGCCGCGGGCGTTCGGCTCCGTCTTGGGGCGGGCCCCCGTTGCCCTTGGGCAGGGTCTCCTCAGCAATGGCAGTAAGGGCCAAGGATTTAATGGTGCGTTGCAATCTCATCAGCGGTATGAGTTCAGTTGTTTAGCTCACGCTTCACGGCAGTCTCGGGTGCATCACGCCACCTCGTCCTTTTACAAGCCTCTTCAAAAAGTTTGGGACTGTTTCGTGCTTGTAGGCACCCTGCAGAACATTAATGACCAGGTCTACGCTCAGGTGTGGCATCGGAACCCCTGGGCAGCTCCAGATTACTTCCTGATGTGACGGACTTTAACCCAGGTCGTCGCCCTAACCGCGCAGGCATTCAGCACAAGCAGCTCTGAGGAGGATAAGCCGATCAGCAACCATGTGCGTGCGTTAAAATGGCCGCCGCGCAGCGATGTCGGAAATTTCCGCAATATGAGTTTTTGTGGCTTAATATGCAGGCATCCGCTGGCATCAAGCTTCCCGGGATGGCTGGTATGATGCTGTTGGGCAAGACACGCACAGGGCTGCGGTCTTCCTCAATCATGCCGTTCGCAGCACAGCAGGCGATGAACATGTCGACTGGTGAGCGCGGTGATCCCCGGGTTATGCTTAATTAGCGCAGTATGTGCCATTACACGACATACTTTGGGGACTGTCAATATGCATTTGAGCACGACACGTATGTCTAACCCTGCAGATACGCAACGGTTCGGGTTGAGGGACACCAGCCCGATCGTTGTGGACTGTTGTATCGCGCTTTCCCAGTGGACCCTATTGCATGTTGGTTTCACGCATTCCCGTTGAGAAATGTAATGCCCCGGGGGGTATGCAGACTCGGGTTGGGGTTCTTGCTCGGCGAAGCCCTCAGGGTTGTGTACCGACCAGGCTTGCGTGCACTGTTTGTGCAGTCTTTGTCTCTCCATCCTCAGTTCAGGAAGTTCCACGTTTCCTCCATGGATGGCTTCAACATTTCTCCTCCATGAAGATGGGCACGGCACGGCGATCGCCATGCTCAACTATCGCCATGCACGATCTCTAACAAACCTACGCCCACCTCCACTAATCCCAATACACCTCCCCACCATAACGTCTAGTATACAATACTGTCCAACCATGCCGCCTCCAATCATACCGCCTCCACCCCTTCTGTCTTTGTGTTCTGTCCGAACAGCCCCCCAGGTGCAGTCGGGCGCCACCGTGAACTCGGTGCTCATTGGTATCTACCGCTTCTGGCGCAGCCAGGCCCCCATGGAGAAGCCGCACGCCCCCGTGGACGATCGCATGCTGCCAGCCATTGTGGACGCCTCGGACAAGCGGGCAGCCATTGGCACGTAAGCAGTAGCGCTTATTGCTCCTGTTAGGCTTCGACCGCGTCGCTTCAAAACACTGGCATGTATGCGTGCACACCTGCCCGTATGGCGATTTGGGTTTGTTCTATCAGGGCGCAACACACGTGTGTGGAGTTCACCAAGGGACATTGAAGCCAAGTGGCCAGTGAGCTGCGTGCTGGACTTTGGCCACGTAGCAGGAAACATGGCTGAGCATTTGCAGCGCGTCAGGTTCCATTAGATCTTATTTGAGGGTTGTAACCTGAGGTCTCAGGGTGTTGCCGTGGCGATTTGGACCTGGACCGCCCGACTTGCGCATTCCACTTTCCTAACAGGCGCCTTCCCCACCTCACTGCCTTTATTTCCCGTAACCGCTCCATCCCCATTTCCTCCATTAACACCCCCCCCATCAGTTGGGCCTCGGCACTGTTTTGCACCATCCTGGCCTCCAACCTGTTGGGTCTGGTGCCCACCAACGAGGCCCCCACCTCGGGTCTGGGCTTTGCTACCGGCCTGGGTGTGAGCGTGTGGGCCACTGCCACCGCCCTCGGCCTATACAAGCTGGGCTTCTCATTCCCAGGGCACTTCATCCCAGGTAGGGAAACAGCGGCGTTGGGAGGCAAGGGGTTTGCAAAGACTTGGCGTGATGGTGGACTGCAAGTGCCGCTGGGTCATTAACAGTGCTATGCTGGGCTTGCGCCGGTGGGGCTGCTGTGTGGGATCCATTTTTTGGTGTTCAGGGGGATGATGGTGGTTTCGCCCTTTGGTCTTTTGCCACAGTTCCCCTGATGACTCAGCTTGGGCCCGTCCCCTTCTCATGCCCTAACTTCAGGTGGCACCCCCTGGCCCATGGCGTTCATCTTCGTGCCGCTGGAGACCATTTCCTACACCTTCCGTGCGGTGTCCCTAGGTGTTCGATTGTGGGTCAACATGCTCGCCGGACACACTCTGCTGCACATCCTGACGGGTGCGTGCGCCTTGTTCATTGCCGCAAGCACCTGCTTCTGGACCGAGCATCGTTGTTCTCCTGAAGCCATGTTGTGCCGTACCGCTGCGGGTATCAGGATGGGTTTGACCTAGAAATGCTGAAAGGCGTGTTGTCATTCGCACGTGCTGAGGTCTTGCCATGATAAGCCAACTGGTTGTGTTTGCCGGAAGCTATGGCACGAGTACCTGACAGAAGACATGAGGGTCTCTTAACTTGGCCTGGTAAATGGTTCAAAGTTTATAGAACGGCACGCAGTGCAGCGCACCCCTGTTGCGGTTGTTGGCCGCATGATTGGTCACTTGCTGTGACCCATTGACGGATTGATGTGGGTTGCGCAGTGCACTGTTAGAGCCTGGTCTCGAACTTGCTCGCTCTACACCATATCCCCCCACTGTGTCATCCACCCATTTCTGTCCTCACTGCACTGCCATCGTCCGCGTGCATTACTTGTTTCCGCATCGTCCGTTCAGGCATGGCTCTGGCGCTGCCATTCTCGCTGTCCTTCTTCGCCATGGTGCCCGCCACCTTCGCCGTGGCCTGCCTGCTGTCTGCGCTGGTGGGTCTGGAGTACCTCGTGGCGGTGCTGCAGTCGGGTGTCTTCTCCATCCTGTCCACCGTCTACGTGGGCGAGTTCAACAGCGTCAAGCTGGCGGGCCCGCTGGCCAAGGTCGTCAAGAAGCTGTGAGGCTCACCAGGAGGGCAGCGCGGTGGTGGTAGTAGTGTGTCATGGAGGTGTGGCGCCAGTGGTTGGGTGTGCGGGTGATGAAGCGCGGGTCGCGGCGATAATGAGTGGCTGTGGTATGCGGTGCTTGGTTCCGGAGACATGTCCTGTTGGACGGGTCTGGTCGGGCTGGGGTTGTGCGTCGGCTAGTGTTGATAGCCGACATTGATTTCGCCCATTTGCGTGTGTAATACGAAGTGAGGTGTTCTTCCCTAGCCTTTACCTGCTCCAGTCCGACGCGATGGCAAGGGAATACGATGCAGCACACCCTGCACGACCACAGCTTGGCGTAACGAGTAAGATTGCTTGGCAACACGACGAAGCGAGCCATAGGGAATTTAATGTGGGCGTGCGACAGTTGGCCAAGGTCAATGCTGCATGCCATGGATGGGGTTCTGGGTATGGCACCATTACCCTGCTTGCCTTTTAGTAGATTGTTGCTTGTAATACTTCGTGAAATATGAACGTCATTGTTGCGCTCCTTCAAACAGCGTTGCGCAGATAAAGATGGGAATCCGACCCTCCGGAGATTATAAAGCAGGCTAATCCAGCAATTTTCTTTGCCAAGTCGGCGGAGGCTTGCAGAGCAGATGAGCCCTGCCCGCCCCGCCACAAAGCACAAGAAAACCACAAGCAGTAACAAAATATTTGCTCGTTAGGCGGCCATATCGCTATATACACACGTCCCTAGCCCACTCCACACTGCTCTAGGGACATCACGCCCAGAGACTCCTGAAGCACTAGCCGTCATTCACAAATCACATGACGGAATTATCGCAGCCCCCAGTGTGCACACAAACCTAACAAATATTTTTACCACTCACGAAGTAATTGTGCAATAGCCAGCGCCAGCTGCTGCTACTGCTAATACCGCTGCTGCTGCTGCTGCTGCTGCTGCTGCTGCTGTGTCCGCTGTGTGATCCACGCACGCCCTGCTAGCCGAGCTTCCATCCGCCCAACATACTATAACCCCCAATGCCGCCGCAGCGAGTGTTCGGCAAAACAGAGCGGTATGATGACGTAATGCCCCTCGATCCGCAGCGAGTAGAAAACTAGGTGAGAACCTTTCCCCACGTCCCTGGCGACCCACAACCGTCCGTCTCACCTCACGCGGCGACACGCCCACCACATTCTACAGCCTACCTCAGGCGCCTCTGGGACTCAATGACGAGCTGCTGCATTTGCTTCGTCAACATCGCCACTAATCGCACATGCCGGGGTCTCCATTCACCGCAACGGGGCATGTGTTCCCCCGCACCAGCGGACCAACTCAAAAAGCACGTGAGCCGTGTTGTACTGCAATCGCCCCCCATCCATCTGCCAAGTCCAACCCAATCCGCAACCCAATCCACGCAAATAACCCAACACATGCAGTCGTATGTGCTACATACATTTCCCAGCTCGCGCCGCAGCACCTCCCCACACCATTGTCCCTCTCAAAATCGAGACACCACGATCCCGATCGGCCGTGGCGGGTTCGGCCCCTGCCTACTGCCAAACGGCTGCACCGAATAGGCCTCCGGAAGGAAGTCCACCAGCCGCCCCTCAGGACCTTCCACCAAGTTCCGTGGCGGGCTGCCACGCTGGCGGAGGCCGTTGGCCGCCGCTATCGCCGCCAGCATCGCCGCCTTCGAGCCTGGACGCATCGCCGCCGCCACCACGCCCGCGCCCTCCATTACCTCATTATCTACTTGCGAGGCGGTGGAAACGGAAGACACGGCCTCGCTGTCCTCGATTAATGGCGGTGGAGGCAGCGGCGGCATGGCCGCCGCCGTCGCTGCCGCGGCAACGGCAGCGCCGCCGCCGCCGCCGCCAGGGATATAGCCTTCCGGCAGTGGCTGCGGAACCGGCAGCAGCGATCTCCGGAGCGGCGCCTGACGTGAAGGGAGCGTCGATGGTGGCGCACTGCTTGCAGCCAGGCTGCCATGATCGCCCTCGAAGGGCCAGAGGCTGCTGAAGCTCACCCGCGTCCCGCCAGTGATGGCGGGCGGCATTCCCTCAGCGTCGCCGCCGCTGCCGCCGCCGCTACCCGGCGGCGTGTGCGCCGTTGCCGTCAGGGTGCTGTGCCGTGCGTCGCCGGCGCTCAGGCTCCGCCAGGCCCCCGTCGCCGGTGCGGAAATAACGGCGCCAGAGGCGGCGGCGGTCGCCGCAGCTGCCGCCGCGGCCGCCGACACCACATTTGTGACGGGTAACGGCGCCCGCAGCAGCTCCCGCGGACGTGACGAGCCCCAGACGCCGCCTGCGGGCCCTACTCGCCGCATTCGCGCGTAGTTGTCGTCCCGCCTCAGCGCCACGATATCTGCCTGCCACTGGTCGAGCAGGTGGTAGTGGGAGGCCACCTGGGCAGTCCAGCCCTCGGCGCGAACCAGGGAGGCTCGCACGCGGTTCGCGGCGGCTGCCTCCGAGGCCGCCTGCGCGATATGCTCCTGGGGGGGACGATTGGGAAGGGTGGTTGGGGTTCCTGGTGTTGGGCTGTGCGCGTGTGAGTATAGGACGATCACACAGTCAGCACCCACCCTGCTTCCGCCCGGCCACCCCGTGCCGCCAAAGCCATCTAACACTACCATCGTGTACCAGCATTACCCCGTCACACATCCCCCCCCTCTCGCGCGCGCGGGCGCGCGCACGCGATCGCGCGCCGACACCCCATCCTCAGAACACCTCCCCACCGCACCGCTGTCATCTTGTTCAGCTGCCGCCGTATGGCACCCTGGACCGCCGCCGCCTCCGCCATCACCGCATCCCGCGCACGGATCTCAGACCGCACGACCTGCTTGCCGGCACCAGCCACCTGACGACCGAACGCAGCCGCAAAGGCGCGATCCTGTGCTGCTCGCTCACGACGTAGCGCCCGCACATGCGCCCGAGTGGCGCGAGCCTTCATCGACCGCTCCCGTTCCTCCTCAGCTCGCGCCAGCTCCGAATCCACCACCGCCGCCTGCACGCAGGAAGTGGTGGCCACCTGGCGAGCAGCGGCGACCAGCTCCTCCTTGACGGCGGCGATGGCTTCCCTAGAGCGGTACGACAAGAGTACGGCCGTACGGCAGAGTGTATCAGGGTACGGTGGTAAGAATATAGCAATGCGTGAACAGCAGAAGACGGCACGGCTGTGCGTCAATTGGTGGCTGGACTGGGCTCTTGGCGGAAAGGGAGGAGAAGGGGTCTTAGGATTTATTCCGGGGGGGGAAGGGTGGGGGGACGGACGCAGATACACAAGGTAGGCGACCAGTCCTTCCCACCGCCCACCCATTCCCAAAAGCCGCCCGCGGCAGTCCGGCAGGGGGCAGCCCTACGTTCAAAGAGCGCTTCCCCCTTCCCCCTCCCTCCCTTCCTCCTGGTACACTCTTTCCTTGGCATCACCTTCACTCGCTCGTGGTTCGTCTTCCCCCTCCTCCCCCTCCCCCTCCTCCTTCGGCTCCTCCTCCGTCTCTTTCCACCAATTCCAGTCCCGCTCCACCCCACCCTTTCCCCCCCCCCACCCCCCACCCCCTTGGACGTCTAGGGCCATTTCTCCCTCCAGCTTTTGCCATCGTAAGATCCCCCCCTCTCCCAGTCACCCCTCGCTTTCCCCCCCACTCTCCATGCCCCTCTCCCCCCACTGGCTCAGTCAGCTCACGCACTTGTGCTGCTCCCTCATGTTGGCCACCAGCTCCGCCGCCTCCCCCCGGTACACGCGCCGCATCTCTGACACGATTTGGTTCATGGCCCGAACGCTGAGCGGGGTGTAGTTGGGCGCGTGCACGTGACCCACCGCAGTCTGCCGCCCAATGACCTGCGACAAGAGACGTGCGTGTGTGCACGTATTTATTCATGTATGTATGTATGTATGTATGTAT